ATAATAAATCATTGAAGGAAACGTGTTAAAAATAGTCTTGTATAATTATTGATTTTTGACTTTTTGTGAGAAATTATGCTATGTCTAATTTGTTTGCACTGAAAAATCTCTATTTATTGTCGAGATATGCATTTCTTCTTAGATCGATATTGTATTTCTTAAGTACCTAATAGGTTAGAATAGTCTCCAAGATTTAAACTGTGTAACAAAATAAGGAAAAACCTAACACATCTATAAGATATGGAATCCTAATTGCCTTTATAATCGTGGAGTGAATCATAATGGTGAATTGAAGAATTTCATTTAAGTTACAGGGTGAATTATCTTTGTCCATCGAGGAACATCAGACATTAGTTACAATGATGTTGTGTATCAGAAAATGAGGTCATATATTTCAGAGAAGACGAATATCGACTCTTCGTATGTTATAAAGACTAAATATAGATTGTGTAACTCTGCTGGGTGTGAACTGATGTGGAGAGAGAGCTTTCATGATATCACTTATCAAGTGGTAACTCTTGATTTCATTGGCTGCAGTTTTTGATTTATAATAATGTGTTTGAGGATAAAGATGCATGCAACTTTAATGCTACGATTTATGTGCGCATTTATACTGAAGATAGGCATTGTGTTATACGCCAGTTCTTCTTGTTAAGCAACTTCAAATTCCAAGGCCAGATAAAATGATTACTACCCTGTTAATTTATTCAGGCAAATTGAGTGTGGCTTATCTATTCAAAAAATTCATTCTTGACCTGGGGTCGATCCCTGATTGGGTCAGGGGTGGGTAGTAATAGGGAGTCCTAAACAAGGATGAAACAGCTGCCCAGTACTCTCTGGTTTTCAGTGGTTCTTTAAGTGAAGTCATTTCGTGACCAATCTTCAATACTTCTATTGTGTTTTGACTTTCATCCTAATGGGACTCATTCGCAAGTACTTTACATCCATTTTTATTGATAATACATCAAGCCGTTTTCAGTTTGATTAAAAACTAACATTGTACATCTAATCTCATTCCATATTGTGTGTGAGTATCATTTCACCCTTCGCTCTCTTATTTCCTTATTGTGTATATTGAAAGAAATGGATTTTGTGCCTAGTCTGAAAATACTACGAGCGTCGCTGTTTCTTTTGAGTCCATTTGATAGAAAATACAGTGTATTTACTTCTGAAAACTTAGATTCATATATCTCGTATATAACTGTGCAAAGGTGAATAGTTTCATGAATAAGATAATTTAATATTCTTAGGGCCCTATGTCAAAAACCCAGAAATGATTATGTTCAAACAATCAAAGTTACCTCGTTTTTTAACCTACGCCTTGATGTTTAGGAGTAATAATAATAATAATTTGCTTTATTTCAAAACAGTACTAATGGTACTGTGTGGAATTTTCAGCATTCGATACAATATTGCACCTAATTTTAACAAACAACACTGAAAACAACTATAAAAAAAATATGTTTCAGGTTTGTTAATGGCAGTTCTTAGATGGTATTTCCAGTGACATTACAATCATAAACACACAAAAATTGCAAAATACTTATGATAATAATGTTAATGGCTAAGATTGTCAGTTAATCGAGATAGTGTCACCATAGATTACAAATAGGAGATAATAAAAGAGCTGATTATTCTGATAACAACATAGTGATTCATGGGTTTCCGGATTAGAACAAGGGCCAAATATGGTATCGATGATTTCCTATACTTGATTGTATGAACATATGATATTTTGTACTGACTTCTAGTTCTACCAGATGAGATACAAGGGAATAGTTAGGAACAGAGGGGGTGTTAAGGCTCAGACAATATGGATTTAGACCACTTTTCGAATGAGTTCAGATGTCTGTCAACTAATGTAGCGAAAAGCTGACTGAGTTGCACACCGATTTCCCGACTGACAGCTTTTAAAACCTTTCTAAAAATGACACAGTCCTTTTTAGTAGCCCAGGAAATACTAAGGGAGCAGTAAGGTACAGTTGGTGATATGCAAGAGTTAGGGAATTGTAAAAGTAGAGGTTGAGTGGTTCCAGACTGTCTTAGCTTCTTACTGTAGTAGTTAAGACGGGAAATTTTCCTGGAGGTCGACGAAATATAGGATGACCAAGTGAGGTCAGAGGATATAACTTTACCAAGATATTTTGTGTTGGACTTGATTTCTATTACAGTCCCCTCTATGCTACATGCATCATGTGTACTGACCAATCGTTGTAGATTACGTTAATGTCTAAACGAAAAGTCAGTAGTCTGACCTTTTGAGGGATCTAACATAAGATCACCTAGCTTAGACTACTGATTGATGTCCGACAAAAGCTATTAGGTTTGCAGCAGTCTGATTGGCATTTGACAGGAAGCGAGATGATCAGCGGCAGCATCTAAAGTACTTCTACCCTGTCTACAAGCGAACTGTTTGGCATCAGTAAGACCTTTTATAGAGGGCGCAAAGTTGAGTAAGAGTAATTTCTCCAGGTAATTGCAAGAGGCCCGAATTTAGCGCTAATTGCAGAGCCTGATTTAGGTACAGGGATGATTTTAATGTCTTTTCATGCAGCGGGTACAACGTTACTGGAAAGGGGAGTATTGAATATGTTTGTAAGTGGGTGAAGTAAAATATCGGCACATCTCTTGAGGACGACAGCAGCTGCACACAATCACACCATCAGGTCCCAGGCTCTGGGAAGATTTTAGAGATTCCAAACATTTGAGAACATCAAAAGTCTTAAGACCACGAAAGTCACTGATCATGTCATTTGTTACATTGGGGACAAAAGCATCATTAGGAGAGCTTGTGAAAGATTTGTTGAGAGTATCTACATCAACAGAGGAGACATTAACACTTTGCTTAACACAACCTGTAATTTCATTGAAAACTGTCCACATGTTTCCAGGAGTTTTATGTGACAAGAGTCTTTGGTTATAAATAGTGTCCAGTCGTTGGATTTCCGATTTAATTTGGTTGTTTATCCTTTTTAGATCGGATTTGTCTTTAGACTTGTACTGCTGGCCTTTTCCTCTTTGGAGCTTCTTTGCATGAGAAGAAGAGAAACGGTCAAGCCTTTTGAATACTGTCTGTTTAGGACAGCGGCAGAATTTACGATGATCCATAATATTAGTGATGGTGTCATTCAGTGTGTGCTCAGTGAGTAGTTATCAGTTAGTGTCATTAAGCATATCTCTCACTTTATGCATCGTATCCTGTGAGTAGCATCTATATTGTGTTTTATTGAAAAGGTGTGAGAAGACATTTGAGTGTAACTTGCTATGCATTTCAGGTAACACTCGAATAATACGATGATCTGAATTCATTATGGGAGTGCGTGTGCGCGGTTCATATATTCCAACATCATTTTTGAACACTAAATCAAGTGTTTGTCAGGTCGAGTGGCAAAGATGACAAAATTTACATGATCCAGTGACTCAAGGAGAGAACATTAGCAGAATTGAAGTCATCAGTAAGTATTGAGAGAGAGAGTTCTCAAGAAGAGTAGCAGCAAATCGAGTGAATTCATCTGCGTAATCAGATAATTGGGAGACGGCACAGGCAGGTTTGACGTAAATGTTTGAGGTAAAAATGTATTAATACTTTGATAAGTGTTTGAGATCACATTTGACTGTAATACAATCAAAAAAGTCACCTGAAAATGTCAAACATAGATTGTTTGAAATCGATCATCGGGAATGTATAAAAGTTGCAACTCCTCTATCTCATTTCGTTTTGGAACAAAGTCGACCTTGTTTGAATAATGTGAAACCATTAAGTGAGACCAGATTATCACCACAGAGCTCATGAAGTCATGTTTCTGGTAGTTTGATTATAGCCATGTTGGGATAAGTATCACATGATAGGAGAGATCTCAGATGCATAATCTTGTTGGGAAGAGAACGGCAGTGGGTGGGCGGGGATTCGAACCACGGACCATGTGCATGGTCGGCGAGAGTCCTCACCGCTGTGCAACCGACGCACAAACAAACACTGGTATAGATCACATTTGTCGCATAATAAAGAATAAGTCATGTGATCAGGTGTCAAATATCCGGTGATTACCAATGCGAGTGGTTAAAATGATAGGAGAATCTCCGGAGACAGCAGGTTACAGTCGAGGTTCCTAGGAAAGACGATTGTTCAGTCGTAGTGGATTCCTGAAGTAAACTTCACTTTAAAGTTGATACTGAAAGTGTCCTCCTAAAGGACAATGGAAGCCTTACAATTAAATCATCTAGCTCCGGGAACACAGCATCGCCAAAACGCACACGAACTTGTCTAATTCACACTGATTAACCACTATCATCTTGAAAGACACATCAAGCATAGTATTACAAAACAATGAGAAAATCCTGTCATATTCCTCATAGTTTGGAACACCGTCTTTTTAGCTTGTGTTAGATAAATCTGTATTATTAACCGGGTGAATTTACTTCCAGGAGTGCTCGACCAGTTATTAGTTTTCTGGAAAGGAGCTAGGAATATTAAGGAGGAAGAGGCACAAATGTAGATAAGTTGAATATAGACTGAAATGAAGTTGGAGTTCAGTGTTAGCTATGATTGTTACGAAAGTGAACTTTATTTTATTCCTTTTATTGAGTATGTGAATGCAATGACAAATATAAAAAATATTACATAAATCCAGCGAAGTTTGAGAATATGGAATCTGTGAGATATTAGAATGCCTACCACCCTTCCAACTGCTATGTCCCTTTATCGGGGACATAACATTGATGCTACTCTGAGGTATTTATTCTGTAAGACACTCAGGATATGAATACTGCCTGACTGTTGGTTGACCACAAATTGACGTATGCTTTATATGCCGGTTATCCACGGACTGGTTGCGACCTTCACAAAGTTAGTCACAGGTTACATGTATAGGAAGCAGATACATCATTCACCATAAATTGGGCTAGATTATTTGGCATTAGGTCAATAACAAGTTAATTGGAAAGATATATAGACAATTTCACTTGTTCCTCACTTTTAGGAATTCGAAATAATGCAGCCTTCGGTGATCAGTTTGCCCTCAAAACTACTTATTCTCCTGTTGATATTCTTCGGTTTCATGTGTGTAATCTACTTGGTGGTCATAAAATCAGATGAACATGTCCCAATATGTGTCCTCAACTATACATCGGTCCTTGATAATCAGTTCAAAGAGGTAGGTCATATTTCTGTTTCTATCCTGCTTCTTTTAAATAACAGTATTTTCACTGCAAATGTATCCGTACTCGATGATCATTTTTATTCTTTTACTGGCACATTTTTGTCGACGAAATGATACTAGCGAACGAAAGTTGTCAAATTCGAAACCAACATTAGTGTTTGAGTTTCTTTGGCTCTCAAATATGCCGTCGGTTTCAAGATATCCTGCCTAATCTGAAGGTCGACACGTCTCTGATTCATTCTGTTTTCTCAATGTCTATCCTTCTACGTCAGCAACTGGAGACTTTACTACCTTACTGTCTCCAGTGACTGCATATGTATTTCACAGGTAACTAGGTGGTGTCTAATTTATTAGATCATAGTCAACTGCTTGGACAGTATTTTCACTGCGCCTATAGATTGTTTGTGGAGAATCACAATTCCGAAAGTATTCCAGTGGTATGCAATAAACGAGTGAATAATTCTGTTTGTCTGCTTACCATTCAAATTCGTTACCTAGTCATGACTATATTCGAGTGAGGCATTCTCTGTTGTACCACTGAATCGTTTGCATGTCAAAGCCAACAATTTTCAGACACGTCCCAACGCCTTTTGTGAGTATCCATCTGTAACCACACGAATAGGTGAGATGTGATACGATTTCCGTTTGTTATTTTTGAATGCCAACTTCATGATATTTATGTTTACCCGAGGTTCTTTCAGTAGGATATCAACAAAAGAGTCACTAAAGTTAACCTAAAATCAAACTTAATTACATCAGCACATACAACGGAGAGGGGTCTAGCAATTATTAATGATTAATAATAAACTGCCAGTAAAGTCCGACAACCACACTATCCCTGAACTGAAACTAAATTTTCCTTCACAACGTCTGATAAAACAGACACATAGAAGTAGAGGGCAGATAGGAGGATAAGCGCAGTTGTACTCAAAACAAGGTGCGTCATACACACGAAAATATCATGTAGATGCCAATAGATCAGGTAAAATATTCTATGTCGTTTCGAGTTGAAAATGTCTTAAGTTCAAGACGAGCAGTGTGACACGTAAATCTGCTGGAGGAATCAGTCATTCTTTCCAGCAAGCATTACTTCCGTGATATCTACGGAAAGGAGTAGAATGTCAGTTCATTGATTTTGCTGCATTACTGGGGATCGAATGACCCCCGAATATGGTTGGGATATAACAACGATACTCCAAGTATTCTGCTTATTTTATGTAGTGGAAACGCACAGATAGTGGGTGAAACAATCTGTTGCTGTTCATATCAAGTTGGTTTAACATTGTTTGTTTGTCAAGTGGATGTAAAATGTTTACAAACTATTAAATATGAGCGAGGTAAAACTCATACAGCCATATTTTCCCAGTTGACTTTATCTTCAGGCTGTAAAACACTTTAGCGTTTACAGTTGGTTTCGTCAGTTACCTTCAGCATATTTTTACTCTTAAACGAACTTATCATGACTTACATTGATAAAAAGAAACAAATTGCCACTCGTGAGGAGCAGTAGTATGTAGGAGGTAAGTTTAAGGAGACACAATAATTTTGCTCAGAGATTACTTTTTTCATTTCACTGAAATAAGATAATGTTGCTAGAGCTTCAATTTAACACCTGCTCCTTTGGAAATGAATACATTCAAATAGTAAACCAGTGCGTTTACGAAGTGTGAATATGGAGAAGACCTTCAAATCACCACTAGAAGCATTCTGCATGCGAATATAGTTTCTTATAGTTGTTTTATTTCCATTTCAGATAGGCTGTTATCGACTCAAATATGAACAGGGTAAGTTGCTTCCACAGACGTTTTAAACTGACATTTCCACAGATTCCTACGAATAGCTTTGTTTATTATCTTAATGTAATGCTACTTTGATGGAGTATACCTCAATACACTTTTTAGACTAGTCGTCATTGATTAGTGGCGATAATGTAATATAATTCCAATCGTCAGATTTCTTCACCAATCAACATCAGTCAGAGGGATAACTGGAGACCAGGGAGTACTGGACAGCTGTGTCGATCTATTTCGGGACTCATCAGTGGCGTGTGAACACGAACCCACCAATGAACGAACTCCAAACATTCAGGTCACGAGGCCGAAATCCTACACGATTCAGCCACGTGGGCTGGGATTCAGTGGCCCACGAATTCTAATTTTGTCAACTGGAGTGAGAAGTCGTGACTGTTGGAGCTCACCATGTCAGAGTGAAGTGGATGCTCATCGAAAGCATTGGTGAGAGCAGCGCCATATCGGGAGTTGACAAATTCAGAATTCACGGGGCAGTGAATTCCGACCCACTTAGTTGAATGGTCAGCGATCAATGTCTCGTAACCTGAAGATGCTGAGTTCGATCTCTAGTGGGGTCATTGGTGTGCACTGTTGAGGAGTTCCTAAATAGAACGAACCAGCTGTGTAGCACTCCCTGGTTTCCAATTATCTCCCTTACTGATGTCAGTTGTTGAAGAAATCTAACAACTGAAATCGAATTCATCCAAATCTCCACAAATCCTATAATCCAGATAATGCAGAAGCCCAGCTGTAGCATTTAGGATACAAAATTTAGTGAAGAGATTCTGTCCAAAGATTACTGTTACTGAGTTGTGAAGGTGTACATAAACGGTTTATTGAAGACGATAGCATGTGCGGAAATTCAAGCAGTAGGTGTCAACAGTAGAAGTATGTTATTTACTTGAAAATGAAGAAACATAAGGTTAAATAAAATGAAATAAATATTGGAAGACTCAAGACTGAGGAGGAGGAGGAGGAGGATTGCTTACCATACGCTTCGTAAAACAATCCGATAAGGATTACCGAGTTGGCTTGAGTGAGTGGGAGGGGGCGTCAAATTTCGCACTTAACCCCGTTAGTAGTCCTTGTTGGATTAAATTACCCAGAGTATTGTCAATTATTATTCCGATTAGTCCTAAATACCCTAGTATTTTCTTTATTTCACTTGCCCTTTCACTTTCTTAGATTCTCATATGAACTCAATAGACAGGTAGATGCTTGATCAGATTCATCGATATGCCACTAACAATCAAATGTTCCCAATTATATTTGTAATTAAGCATCCAGAGACAACAAAGTAAATTGCTTCATGCACAAAATCGTGCATGGAATGCAGAAATCTTCGAAAAGTGTGTGAAACTAGTAAGATTAGACGAATAGACGAATAAGACACTGCTTAAGGAGCTCAGAAGTAGGGTAAAGTAAGTTGTTGAGTGATTTTACTACAAGGGACAACTAAAACAGTGATGGAAATTGTCACAAAGTGAAAATCACAATAACAGTGGTGGTAATAAAGGAAGGATGCGAAGATCGATTTAACAAGGCAAAAACATAGATGTTTGTGTCGCTCTTTTCTGTCCTAAAGCCGAGATGAAAAGGCAGCTGTACATACTTCCTTATTGCACAAAATTCTAGCTTCATCTCATGGAAAGAAAACCAGGGCGTCATCTGTTTTTAGAAGTTGGGTTTGTGGAAAAGGCGGCCAATTTGCATGAAGTCAATAAACAATCTTCAGATTATTGTGAGTATCAACTGTGTGAGAAGGGCACACTGACGCTTTTCAGAGGAAGAAAACTATTTATCATTTAAAAGTCATTTCTGATGATAGAAGTAATTTCATTCTTTGCGTTATATCATAAAATAAACAGAAGGGAAATTCTCTTTTTATATCCTCAGTTGGTCGTCTACAGCCATCTCTGAATCTACTAACTTGGCCACAGTTGGAAGCCAAATATGCATCTTCTCAGCCAAGAGATTACATTGTGCTCAATAACTCAGCAGAAAATTCCGATCTAAAACCTTTATTTGGATCACTTTACACTAGATATGATGCAGCATTAGCAAACGCTACAAATGAAAACGTATCAAATGAAAATAATGAAAGTGAAAAAGTCACCGAAAAGCAAGGTTTGCCTAAAATATGGACTCCAATGGGTTGTTCTACTAGTATGTCATCAGCTATAATCATTCCATATCGTAATCGAGATGAACACCTACGCATTGTAACAAATCATCTACATGCGTTTATAAGGCATCAAAAAATACCATATACCATTTTCGTGATTGAACAGGTCGGTTTATTATGAATAATATATAGAAGTATAAAGCTATTGTTCCCATTATTGTAAGAGCGGAATTTCAGCGCTGTCGTAGTGTGCGATTCTATGTTAGAAAAATGTATTCGATACAGTGTTAATAACCAGATGACGTTTCGACCAGAGTTTGTTATTCATCTTACCAATGTATTCACACGACTCGATAGATTGCCTTATATAGTCCTGCATTAATACGATTGTGAACATTGAATTGTGGTCGAAACGACACCCAGTCATTAACACTATATCACCGTGCGTTATTTTAAGTAAACATATCTGGTGTACTCATATTTTTTTCAATAATTTAATGATTCCCATTGTAACATCAGGAACACAATATTCACCGAAGAGACTCTTTTCAACGAATTTATCGTCAAGCTGTACAATCGTTTAAGTTTGTTTAAATTTCTTCACGGGATATAACTTCTTTGAAGGGTATATATGTATATATATACATACGATTGCACTCATATTTGTTATTAATTGAAGCCATTAATTAGTAACTCTAATATAAAAGTGTGTTTCCAAAGAACTGGTCATCTTAGACGAATATCATTTGCAGGTTTGTTAAATTTCTGAGGAGCCTTTATGTTGTTTGAAATCGATTAAAAGCTTCCAAGTGGTTTTCGCCCAGGAAGCTGTAAGGAAATTAGCTCAGAATCGTGGACGTATTATGGTTCAGATACTTGGATAGGTGTTTTCCACTTATCGTGTGTTTGTAACAATGTGCAGCAGACATTCAATGTCGTGCAAAATAGGAGATCTGCGAGATGACGCATTCTCGTTAAAACTTTAAGAACTTACTCTCAAAACACTTTCCCATTTAGCCTAGATCTTGTGTAGTTATGAACACAGACTACGCTTTCACATACCATCATCTTGACACTGACAAGTATTCTTCATCAGACAAAGAGAAAATTCTAATCACGAAAGGTCGTGCAGGTCGCTGAACAGATGGAATTTCTGTAACTTTGAAGTTCATTGTTATTGTTTCTTAAGTTTTTCAACATTCAATAAAGATTTATCCGTTTCCGTTACACGAGGAATCGCATGGCGAGAGAGTTAGCTCTATTCCTTCTGACACGCGTCATTCGTGCGAGAATGAAACAGAAGGTCTCTGTAGAAAGAGTGTAGATTTTACGGGTTTTCTATGCACTGAGTAGATCTCCTGCCTGAACACCATTTCCCGTGGCTGGTATAAAATAGGAGCGTCAAAATAGGAGCAAACTAGTGACGCATTTGAATTTCTCAGGTTTAAATCTACCAGTTTCAGTCATTACACAAGAACAGGTGTAGACTGTCACTTCAAGTCATCATGGGTGATTTAAAATAATCCCAGAGTGTTTAAGAAGAAATGGAAACAAGATTTCCTCGAACGTTTCGCTGTGTAAGTCACAGTTTCTTCAGAAGAATCATTCGGATATTGTTAACTATCAAAGGATATATTTTGGTGATTACATAGGTTTTCATACATCCTATTGATACCCTTTAACTATTGTCACTGCACTTTTGTATTCAGGGGTTATTCATCACAACGTTGACAGAAGATAAATTGTGTTTAGGCCTTAGGAATTACCAGTACTTTTTTCCTCTGCGACTCCGCGTTGCAAAATTTATAATTTCTTTATTGCTTTCTTGCAGACCGGAGAAACTAAATTTAACCGTGGTGCTCTTTTAAATGCTGGGTTTCTTGAGGTTTCAAAGTTGCAGGAGTATAGCTGTTTCATTTTACACGATGTGGACAAACTGCCTGAAGATGACCGTATTACTTATACGTGTAATTCACGTCCGACGCACTTTTCCTCTGCACTTAGTCAGAACGCTTACAAGTCAGTTGAAATTTTCCAAACTCAATACAAAATTGATATTTTTCACTAGATGCTAAGTTATACCTAACAGTATTCATAAAGTTACTTTACAAGACGTTACACTTTTGCCACAAAAGCAAGCTGATAGTAAAATGGATGTAAAAGTCAGAAATTCGGGATTTCTAAGTTTTGTGTCACTTCTTATCTGTAGCAAGATCAACCATTCGATTTGTTCTATGTGGAATTATTTAGACTGAGCCTTGTGTAGCCAGGTAACCATTAAACGCACAGAAATTGAACGAATCAAAGCTATGTTTTTTAATGCTTTCTGCACACGTGAAAAGGCAATCAGAAGAAATAGATTGGATTCTAGAGTTGAATTTAAGTGAATGGAAATCCCCAGTTTCTATTAGACTATATTCTTATTCATGTTTAAATACAGTCATCGGTGTACCTCTTTTCTTTGGTGAAATAGGACTGTGTTTCAATGAATAAAGTAACAAAATATGATATAATTTAGTTTCCACTTCTTCTTGTGAATTTCCATTGAACACACAATACAAATGAATAGAATTCACGGTCACATCGTCAGTAAAGTGTGTTGGAGAATCCCTGCAAAAACGTTGATTATCTCTTTTATATCCTAGTCAAAATTTGTTTACGAAATATTATTTAACTGCATCAACTTTTATAAAACTCAAAATTGTTGTCACCTGAGATTTTTCCCACATCTTACTGTGACGACAAATTTCCAGAATGGGAAGGTGTTATAAGAAACGAGGCACATGTCGAGCTGTATTAGGTTTGAAATGTAAATCCAAGCTATTTTACTTTTATTGAATAAGACTATTGTTCTCAGTTATTAGCGAGTTAAGATAGCAGTCAATATGTAGGAGATATTTAAGACATGATGGCTTCCTCAGAGTATTCTTGTTTTCCTTCATCGCCACTTTATCTCCTCTTTTACTACGTCAGTGACAGGAATCAATAAATCCTTTGAATAATTATGATGAGGGATGTAACTGCGTGATGCAAAGTACCACTGAGTGATGGATATTACCACACCAGTAGCTCTTGGTAGCCAGACCGAAGTGATCCGAACACAAAAGATTTAAAATTCTCTTCTGAGTAAAGTGAATACATAATAAAGGTGACAAAATCCATATTAGTTTGTTTATTAGATATATCACACAGTGAAACAGTATCATTTACTGGATGACGTTTAGAACACAATTTATTGTTTATAATCATACGAATTATGGTGACAAATACCAGTCGTCTGTATACTGCATTACATTTGAACCTAAGTTCAGAACAAAGTTTATGTTTGTCATTATTATGATTAATAGGCTCGAACTCGGTTATTTAAGTACACAATTATCTGAAAATCATGCGACAATCTCTCCACATCAGTTAATTATGTTCACAAAGTATTCTCACTTAATTTGCCTCTTCGTCCCCAATGCATATATTAGGAATGCAAAATGAATTCTCTTCTGAAATGCATCATAAGTAATCCATGTGGCAATAATGTAGATCATTTTCTCTGTTGCAATCCAATTAACCAGGTACCACTGTGTTAGATGGATGAAGGCGACTGGCAAGTAGCCCTGGATCTGATTCTCGTGCTTGTTGACACTCATCAGCAAGGTGTGCCCACAAGCTGGAAGGAACTGATGTTCGCCCTGAGATTCGAACCTGCGTCAATCACAGCTGTAGCCAGACTGCGAATCAGTCAGCTATCTGGGCTCACGATTGACCTCCTGTAGGACTGCGACCGGTACAGTTAGTCGTCAATAATGAGTAATCAGTGTCATGCATCTAGTTCTTTTTGTTGGTGTTAAGGATATGTTGGTTGTAACTGATGACTGTCGAGTGTTTCTCATGCTAACAGTTTCAGAAAGAGTGAGAAGGTCTGTTGTACTCGATAATGATTTGGAAGAAATTCAGTTTGTTTCTTCATAAAACAATGTCTAGCATTGGCCAGCAATATTTCAGAAACCCAGTTGTTTTTCACACTTAAATCACGGACAATAAGGCATTATGTAAGACTATATCATAAGAACATGCTTCTAAACTTGTTTGCTACAGTAATAGATGAATGGAGTTCGGTCTTTGATGCATTTGAATTATCTGTGTAAATTTAAATGCACAAATTTACCTAAGTCAAAAAACATCAGTCAGATGTTTCACAATTTAGAGAAATTGCTAATTCGAAAATCATGAGTTCTTCATGACGATAACTATCTAAAAAGCATCTACTTCCAATCACACGATACCGTAGTCACTTTTAACTCTGCCTATCAGTCACTATTCCCTCGAATCTGAAGCGCTAAAATATGTGTAGCTTCAAGTGGTTTTCTTTCTACTGACTGTGTCATTATTGCTCAAGTCTTAACAGTGAATAGACATTTTGTTGAATTCAGAGAATTTGGCATTATAACTTCACCGAAGAGACGTCCTACAACAGACAAAATGACGTCAAGAGTTTACTTTCAACCTAATTTCAGTTAGGATTACTATTATCTTCCACTGACGGTTGTGAGCACGTTTTAGCAGTCAGAAGGTTATGACTTGACTATTTTACTTTTGTGTTCTTCAAACTTGGTGGGTGCTCTGAGACTATTTTTATACTTGCTTATTTTACTTACTTACTTACTTACTGTTTTATCGCTTGAAAATGTCTGTTGTAAATAGTCGAATTTATAAATGATCATTGTAAGAATATAATTTTCATTTTGCCTGTTTGTAGAGTACTGTATAGGGACTTTTTCGGTGGTGTTGTGGGATTTACTCGTCAACAGTTTCTGGAAATAAATGGATTTTCAAACCTATATGAAGGATGGGGTGGTGAGGATGATGATTTATTGACTCGAGTTAGTCAAACCAAAAACGGGGTATTTCGAATCGGCCCAGATATTGGTCGTTATTATACACTGAGTCATGCCACTGATAAGTTGAATGAAGTCAATCCAGACCGGTAAGCTGCTTTTTGATATCTCAGTGTTATTTTTAAACCGTGTCTGACAATCCGAAAATGTTTCTTTTGAATTAGTATTTATTAGTTTCTATAATCTTATTGATATTATAAAGAAAGCAAAGTGTTTGCTGACACTATCTAAGTGATGCACTTTTGAATTTTAAGATTCATTCACTAATAGCATACACAAATGCTTTCTTGTGCAGTGCAGCATGAAATACCCATCATTCGTTGAGAAGGTTGAAGTGTTTGTCGAATATGCACTTTATAAGATAGTTTTCAGCTAAAATGTGACCATTAACTTCAATAAAATGAGGGCTATCTTGTGCCCTGTTCAACAATTGTAAACATTGGCTTCAAGATGGATACAATTTCGCCAATTAGTCCTTAGCTGTAAGCATAGCAGTTCATCACATGTAAGGTACGTTGTTCATAACAACTGTGATTCACTCCTTGAACTCATGCATCATGTCCATCAGAATGTACTCCTAATAAAGTTACTTGAAATCGGATTGCATATTTAAAACGCCATTTTTCTACCTAAAATTTTACTTCTTATCCATTTACTTTTAGCTTTACATTATTAAAGCACGCATCTACACGTATTAAAAGTGACGGACTGAATACCTTGAACTACAGTGTTATCTCCTCACAAACTATGTACAACGGTTTACTTCATTGGATTGCCGTGGATATACCATCAGTGAGGAAGAGTCATTCATAGTGAAAGTGAGTTGTGTACGCAAGTTAAGAGTGTGCCACCTTATTCTCTCGTGTTGCAGTTATAATGAAATTGGTTCATTTGGAGTGAATTCGGTCAAAATAAGAAATGAAGTTACATAGCTCAGCTTTCTACAAGGTGTCATGACAAAGCCTTGAATCGTTTCAAATTCCTCTTTATTTCATGTGTTACAAACTATTCACTTAAGTCGATCTAAGCAATATGGAGGTACGATGAACTTTTATTTGTAGATATACAGTCTAATAGAAATTGGATGCAGTTGCAGTTGGGTAAAGTCAGTATGCATGGGAAGTTATAAAGCAAAGAGAGAGTGTAGCACAGTCTCTAGGAAAACATGCGGTAGAAGTTCACTTAGATCTGGGAATGCAAAATGTGACATTTATTTGTCACATAAACTTTTATGTGTTAAACTTAGTACATAATACGTGAAGGGATGTTAAAGTAACCAGAAGAAAGCATTCATCCAATGTCGCTTGTTTCCATTCTTGATGAGACCTACACTGAAATTCACCGAACTATTACAATCTCAATATCTTAGTGATACCACATGTAAGCATCTGATATCAGTTTAATCATAACTGGAACATCAGTTGTCTTTGACAAATTAGTTGGTATATAGTTTAACTAGTTATTAGGAAGGCATCAGTTGGAGTTCCCCGTTTCGTTTTTCTTTCATCATTACGCATTATATCAAAATCAAACCAACATTTGAAGGCCGTTTCAACTTCACTAATTGTGAAGTTAATGTAGTTAAACTCAGCCACAAACTAACTTCACTTCATCTTTTCGTCATCGATAAATTAAATGACATTTCACTTATCAGTGAAGTAATTTGTTCGTGAACTCATATTACTTGATTTACTGCAAACAATAAGTCCAGCTAACTACTCTAATAAAGGAGTAGTATCCAATGTCTCAGCGAAACACTGATTTGTCAGAAGCATTTCAAATCAACTATTCTGAGTGTCAAGCAACTAAATTACTGTTGACCAGTTGAAAGATGTATTAAGAGTCTTGAAAAATCACTTAGACAGATTATGCTAATTTCTTATTTGTTTGTTTTTAAATAAGTAAATTTATTCATGAGTAATGTTCATTCTGTATTAATTTGTGAAACAGTATTATTTACTGGATGACGTTTCGAAAACAATTTATTGTTCATGATCATTTCAATTAATATCAATATGAACAATAAATTGTGTTCGAAACGTCATCCAGTAAATGATACTGTTTCACTGTGTGATATATCTAATAAACAAATTGACATGAAATTACATACAACCACAGTGCCCAAGTTTTACACGTGTATCAATGTTCATTCGGATTTTGTTTTCTCATATGATATTAAGATGACCAGTTCGCTTTGATTTCTTTTTGTAGATGTACACTGATACAAGATGAATTTTTCTGCTTTATATCAAGAAAGACAGAGGCGAATTCATCCTGGAAATGCACTTTGTTGATACAAGTGAATACACAGTCGATCTACAAACATTTTACTTTTGGTTTTGTATAATAAAACTCGTCCTTGTATTCACCAATTTTACACCTTATATTCATATATAAATATAAATAATGATATGTTCAGGTATACAATAAATGTATTATTTTAATCTTTTCTTTTTAAATCTTTCTGCCTTATGTGCTCACGAGTTTGCAAGATTTTCAACACAATTCACATTCACTTAATTCTTTTGACTGTATTTACATGAATGGGAAAACGTATTACGGCAACAAAGGTGTATTTGAAAATCTTGTAAGTTGCTGCAAATTGAAATATTTCAGGATTTTCACCGTGGATACTAATCATGCTGGTGTGTAAATCTTCTTTAAAAATTTCTGACTGGAACAATTATGTGTATTCTGATTATTTTACGTAACTTTTATCATGGGACTTTGCATTAAAATTCAGCTCTAGGAGTGACGGCAAATATGAATTCAATAACTTGATCAGCATACATAACATTTGTAAGGATCTAAAATCCCCTTCTCAAGTAGTTTAAGAATAAGCTTGATCTTTTTCTTGAAAATTGGGATAAGTGGGCAACAGATTTGGCCTTGTTTACCTTCAGGACATACAATCTGTGCTGTGCTTATGTTCTTACTGAAAAAACTCAATTCAGCACACACCATTTCAGAAGCCGAAATTCGATTCGTTGAGCAGACTTATTGTCGATTTCGCAACATATTTTAGATTTTCCTTTCTGCTTGAAGTTACAAAGTATCAGTCACTAGGCTGCAGTTGAATTCGTTCAGTGAGTGGTAGACAATAGTGAGTTCCCTGTGTTCTACTGACAAAGTGGAGGTAACATGTGGACACTTGTCCGATGAGCACATATATAACAACATAATCATGATTTCCTTATGATAGAATGAGTGAAAACTGCTAGAAGTTTCAACTATTCATCTTTACCTAACTATTGTCGTGGTATAAACATGGATAAAGGTGACTCCAGAATAAGTAAACTTAGGAACATTGCACTAAGCACTACTGACTGATACTTTCTTCAATAGATCTTCAGAGTTTACTGACTTACTCTGTTCAAAGTGACTGTTGGAAAGTGAAGTAAATAAAAGTTTCATGTCAAGCATGCTTCTATTTCAAGATGCATTATTTACATGGGAAATTCATTTACTGCGACACTGTGAACGAATATCGGAAAGGTGTTGTCTTACGTCTTTACATATTACAAAAATCTGCTGTTTACGGATCAGACGTTTCTTCATTTTCTGTCATTATTATCGGTTTCGAAACGTTTTTTAGCTCTTTTCAAAGCTATCTTCACTGAACATCTACTCTTTTTCATAACACTCAATGAGGATTTTTAAGCTAATTTTGGAGCTATCTTATATGCTGTTAGGAAACCACAAATTTAACAATAAATTGTATTTACCCAGAAAGCTAGTAAATCCAGACACGATCTCTAGCTCTTGCGCTTTTCAGGCAACTACAGTTTTAAATTCATGTAGTACTGGACGCGCGGCTGCAGACATTTCTTCCAAAATCAGTGATGAATGTTGGCAAACGTTTACGACATTATGATACAGCACAATCAACACTGAATATGTGCACATATTTTAAAATTACATGTAATCAACAGCACCATAAATTCGATAAACCGCGCACAAATCTGCGAAATGAATATCCAGTTATTTCCGGTTCATTATGGATTCATTCCTTGTTTTCATTCGTTAATTCGGTGCATAGGCGTAAACTGATCCTCATAAAATTGTTACTGTAAATTCTTCTTGCTTTAATTATGTATCTATAGTGCTAAGAGGTTAAAACATATAATCCATTCAATTGGAACTTTTGATATTTCTGGCAACCAAATTTAGCATTTCTCGAGTTTTCTATATAATTTCAGTGAAAAGTCTCTCACGAATGTAAATCAATTGGAGGATCGTTAGGAGCTAGGAAGAACTAGACATCTGTTGTAACTCGCTGTGCGACTTCTCAGCACTGTGCGCCAACAACCCTATCATGGATTGAATGAATGACGTATGCATCACTCTGTGAACTCGTTGACCTTTCGTACTCTCGGCTGGAGTGTAATTACTCATGAATTGTAACTGTCAGTCAGTGATACGACGCTGTTGACAAACAGTGTCCTCGATAGACATCCACTTTGCAGTAGATATTATGGACCCTACCAGTTATGACTTCTCATCAGAACTCCAGGATATCCATCCTGCAGCCACTGAATAGTTTTAAATAAGGACTCACCAGGTGTCTTGTCCTGCTTGTTTCCAATGATTCTCTAAATGCTATCGTTTCACGACGAAACCTACCTTGCAGTTGACCGAAACTCTCCAAACCCCGGGAATTCTAACATCACCCGCCTGAACAGCAGTGGCTAGAGCCTTATTATAAGACTTCAATAGGAAATGAGGTTTATCTGATCAGTAGGTAAAATGGATGCTACAAAAGAAGTGTGATAAATCTTTGGGACAAATTTTGATGAAATAAAGTCGTTCGAATGACTGATCTCAAAGTTTTAGCGGGTGGTTAAGCTGAGTAAAGTAAATAAATATTCAAGCTAAAATGTTCATATTCAAGTTTCTCCCACATTACCTTTGTTTAATGTGATTCTTTAGATATACTAGTTAGCGAATCCTGGTTCGTGGAGTTTTAAATTACTTTGACAGTGATATCACGCATGTATGATTGGATTGAAATGCTTATTTTAGTCGCGGAAAGCATTTGTATAATTCAGGGATCCATTTGAATCTACTGAAAATGTAGGCAAATTGATGAGCACTGGAAGTAAATCTTCGGAGATTTCGGCGGTCGATTTGAACTACAAGGCTTTCAGGTAAAGCTAGTGAAATAAATAAACGTGTTTTTCAGGAGAAGTAATGCTTTCTACCTTTTTGTGCAATATTTTGCTTGTCGAATGCAGAGGTGAGTGTGTTCAAACAGAGTAGGTGTGATTTAAGATAATCCTACTGATAAAAGATAGTTTTAAATGAATCAAGAATAATAATAATTATAGTAATAATAATGATAATAATAATAGGTAAAATAATCAGTAAGACGTATTACCATGGTAGATTCAGAGTCACGACCATCTCCTTCTGTACACAGAGACCTGGTTTATAAACTCGAATTGTACAAGCCTCCGCAATCGCAAGCATCTTTCTGTTTCTTTGTCTGCTGACAACAGTGAATGACTTGACAGCGTCGATATCATGTCCGTAGTCCACAAGATGTTTTGTTATCGAGCATTTGGGCCATTTACACTCAGCTGTTTTCAAACATTTCGACAAATGCTCCATCATATGAGTAGATAATCGCCTATCCATACGACTTATGTATTTGCTTCCAGAAACACACTGAAATTGATTGTGAAATTGATTTACATTCGTGAGAGACTTTTCACTGAAATTATATAGAAAACTCGAGAAATGCTAAATTTGGTT